GAATTATTTTAATATGTAGTACATATGTGAAAAAATATAAAAACAAACATAAGCATTTGAAAGATATTGCATTAAAAATTTTAATGATACATTAGAAAATTCAATAAATTTTATAATATATAGTTTTATGGAAGTGATATATGTATTTTAATAAAATTTTCGAAGTTTGTTTAAATTCCTAACGGAAACTGTTTTTAGAGTAATAAATCAAGTTACATTAAATAATTAATTGAAATGCATGTTAAAAATAATTTGAAAAATATTCTGGGAATATATAAAAATATATTATTATATAACGATTTACAAAACTTCCATTAAAAATTTTAATAAATATATTAAATTAAAATTATATTATATATTAAAATTTCTATCTTTATTTAATTATTTTTATATAATTGTGTAACTTCTATAGAAACGTTTGTACATTCAATAAAAAATTTAATGAAATTTTTAAAATTTTGCAATTACTATTACATTTATTTTTTTTTTTCTATTAAATGAATATTTAAAAAACAGAAAAACTCAAAATATTCTCAATTTTAAATTGAATATTTTGCTGCTATAATGTACATGAATTGCAGTTTGAATCAAAATTTACTAAATTTAAAATTTTCTTAAACTCTTAGTAAAAGAAAAATTATTTTTAATACCATAAAACTATTATTAATTTTAAGCTAAATGTGACTTTCTTATATATTCGCCTATTTAATTTCTATAATAATTTGAAATTTCATAATCAGCAATTTTATGATAATTTTAAAATTCAAATTAAACATCAGAGAGTTATCATAGTTAATATTAACTTAAACAACTAAAAAACTAAGGGAAAAGTTTACAAATAAAATTTTACTATAAAAGATGAAAATAAAAGTGCTTTGTTTAACGATTAAAAAATTCATATGAGATTTTAAAATGAAAAATGAATTTGAACTTGAATTCAATTTGTTTTCTCTTTGAAAGTTTTCTGAAATTCTAAATCTATTTTTATAAATTCATAAAAAAATACCTCAATTAAAGGTTGTCAAAAGCGTTCATATTAAAAAATTAAAAAAAGCGTCTATTAAAAATTAAATTGAAATTGTATTTGACCTTATTCAAACAACCACTTAACTCATAAACTAATACATAACTAATAATTGATTATTAAGCTTTTCCCTAATTAATTGTCATTAATAACAACTAATTAGATAATAATTAACATTATTGCTAAAATTTAAAAATTAGCTTAAATGCTAATTAGTTCAATGTTCTCAAAAAGTTCCAGTTGAGTGTTCTCAAAAAACTCCTATGACCCTTCAAGCATAGTTGTATCCAAAAATTATGTTCGGTTTATTTATTGTTTTAAATTTTATCCTAAAAAGAAACAAAAATACAATAAATTAAAAACTTTTTGAATGATCTCAGTAATTTTTTAAAATGTATTTTGCAAAATAATAGTTATACATATGTACGAAGTTTTTAGTATAATTCGGTAATTCTAATTCCATACCTATTTTGTCCAGTATGTATCTGTACAGTAATAAAAAAGCACTTACATATTATATTAAAAATATTTACAATTTTACACAGCAGTGCCCGTCATGCAAAATCACTGCCAACACCGGATACACCAAGTAAAATAGTATATAAAGAAAAAATCTATTATATATTTTCTATAGTTTTATCTTTTTCTCATTAAAATTTCATCTATGACATAAACATATCATTAATTTCTTTGTTCTATATTTAAATTATTTTCGCCAAAAATTATAATTAATTTTTTTTTTGAAAATAAAATATATTCTTCAAGACAAAATTTAAAATAAAAATAGTTTATTTTTGAATTTTCTCTCTCTATTTTTCTCTCCCTTGTTTTTCTTTTGCAAAAATGACTAATTTTTTGAGAACTGAAAAAAGTAAAATTAAAAAAGGAAAAAAAACTTATCGGCAAGTTTTCTTGTTTGTTTTTTTTTTTTTGCCGCCACATTTTTAACAGTTCATCTGCGACGATAGTGAAATTTTCATTTTTACATGTCATAGAAGTGAGCAAAAAATAAAATATACACAACCCAAAAATTATGAATAATAATATGTTCTTTAAACATTAATGATTAATTATGAACTTTATATTTATATTATTCTTTTATTTGTTAATTACATGGTCTTCGACACATCAATCATCTTATTAAAAGTTATCGTTCGAAATCGAATACTTTTTGAAGTTGGCAAAGCTCTCATTAGTCCTTTGAGGTAGAACCATCTAAAAATATTTTCATAGTATTAATATTTTCTGATAAAAATTCGAAAATTAGTTTATTAACATTGGGTCCAAAAAAAAATAAAAATATATACATACATATGTACATACTTCAGCTGCCACATACGGAATTGTATATTTTAAAATTTAATTCACAAAATTCAATAATACCAAAAAATTACAATATACAGAAATATGCCAATTAAATCTGAAATTTAGAAGATAGAATGAAAAACGAAACATTTAATATGATAATCAAAAATTATTGATTTCACATTATTCTTTCATTTAATTGTTAAAATCAAAATTTTTAGCAAATAAAATCTATCGCATAAAAATAAAATTAAATAAAATCATGTCAAGTTTTTCTTTTAAAGATGGAAAATTCAATGAAAATGCGAAATAAACAGAAATACGCTATTTTTTTCTGTACATAATTATATACAACTTATAAACACAAATTTCGATTAATTTTTTTTTTTCATATTTTCCAAAGAATTTTAGTTTCATGCCAAAAAAACAATATAACTATGTACATGTATGTATGTATGTATTTAAACTTTGAAAAGCAAGATCAAACATTGAAAACAAATTTAACAACAATTTAATTTATGTCTGAAATATTAATAAAATGGTCTATTATAATTTGTTTTTTATGACTTTTAGATTTTTAAATTATTGAAAATATTGTAATTTTTAAGATGAAAAGGAAAAGAACTTTTTTTTGTTATAAACGCTATTTTTTGTTCAAAAAATAAATTTAAAATAATGCTATTCAAAAATTTAGGTGCGGGAAAAAAGAATCTTATCTCATATATACACATTAATAATTTGATTACTTAAGCGTACATAAAAATTTGCTAGTAATTTATTTAAAAAACTATACAATAACTGATTCTATTACATTTTGCAACTATCTCCATTTCATCTTCTTTCGCAATTGTATTTCACTTAAAACAAAAAAATACCTCTTTAGTGGATAGATACCTCTTTTTTTTAGATAGAAAAAAGTAAAACTGTTGAAAGAATAAAGCGTAATAAATATGAGTATGTATACTTAAAAGGAAAATTGTAAAGGATTCTTGGTTTATTATGTGAAATACTAATTTAATATTAACATTATTCAATGCATATTAATTGATATATTATAATAATAATACAAAAAAAAATTATTATTATTCTAAGCTTTTAAGTAAAATTATTACTTAATGTGTAACTTAGTCCATAACTACAGTTTTTTATTTTTACCTTAACTCTACAACAATTTCCATAATTCAAATATCTTTTAAACACAATCCAAGAATCAAATTAACCTGACGATCTAATGAACCCGGTTCCCGATAACTTTAATAACTGACCGTTTTTATTATTGAGTAACCTTTCTGAATTTCGTTTAATGAAGAATATCATTAGTTGTTTAAAAACTCCACTTGTTAAAAACATTCTATAAAGATTACTCATTTATTAAGACATAATGGAAGATAGCAAGAGTAACATTAAACCTTGGAACTTACATAAGAACCCGAAACAGCGCTAAGGTTAAAAAGTTTTGAGATGCCTAAAACATTATTAAAGTCAAAAATGCACAAAATTCTATATATGCCTCAATCGAAAAATTATAACTTGTCATACTTCGTAAATTACTTAAACATAAGGTTCTTTTGCTAAATAATTAAAATTTAAATTATATTATTATTTTTAACCATTATTTAATAAACTTATGAAGGCACGTCATGTCTGTGAATTTTGATGAAAAAATAATAACTCAAGTCATTCTTTTAATTTAAAAATTGTAATTAAAAAAATTCTTCAGAAAAATTTTACTTGCTTGCATAAATACTTGTATATCAGTAAAGATGTTTATAAAATGTTTACAGATATAACGTTTGATGTATTTAATTTTATATGTGTAAATTATGTACATACGTAGGAGCACTACAAAATATTTACATTTTATAGAATCAAAGTCAAGGTAACATTTCATACATAACGTTATATACAAGAAGGAAATATTTAATTACTTTCCTTTGATTGTAATTTAGCCATGAGTTAAATTTATTAATAATGTGTTATATAACATTATACCTATTAACGTGTTCACAAATATTAAAAATAATAAGTACTTTGAAAAAACTTTATAAAAATATGTTCAAAAACACAAAAAAATAAAAGATGAAATTATTTAATTAAGTAAAATCCAAAAAATTAATGTGGTTTTTAATTAAAGTAAATACATAATTTTACAGGAAAAATGAAAATATAATTTTTCTATTTAAATTAATTTGATTTTAAAACGCAAATCACAAAATTTGGCAATCTGAATTTTAGTTTTTCTGAACATTTTGGAACAAATTGAACTACTGATTGTTTCGACCGACAAATCGAACCAAAACTGTTGTTTCGACTTGTTCCGAGAAGCTCTTCCTATACATTCTAAATTAAATTTAATTAACTAAACGCTAACGTTAAAATTAATTAGTCGTTTTTAAGTTCTGACTGAACTGGATGAACTGGAAACTCCGCATCCTTATTATAGTTTGAAAAATTTATGAAGAATCTTACCCTTAAACTCGTATCAGAAACCTAAAAATATACAATCAAAAATATAACAAAGATTTTAATAATTTTCTAATAACATAAAAATAATGACAAACTATCACTTTTTAATTAATTTCAATTTTCAATCAAAATATTTAGTTAAATTTCAAATTTAATTTTTTATTCCACAAATAATTTATTTTTTTTTTATATTTTATACTTCTAGATCAAAGTTTATAAAAAAGCGGAAAAATAAAACAATTTTAATTGTTTATTTTTATTTGGAAGGTACAGAACAGTTGCCAATGTTTTATAATTGAAGTATATGCATACATCATAATACACAAACGAGAAACCAAAGAAGATAATATTAAACAAATTGCTAACAAAAAATTTAAATTTACAATAAATTATAAATATATTTTACTTAAGGAGTATTTTAATATCAATATTAAAAACATAGTAGTGAAAATACAAACAATTCCAAGATGCATATAGAAGTTCAAGTAGCTTTAAATTTTGTTATTTCTTATTTATATAATAAACTGCCGAGACGACGTGTCAATTTATTTGGCGAAGAATTAGAGAAAGCATTAAAGGACAAATTTCAAGGGCATTGGTATCCCGAAAAACCATTTAAGGTACATATTTGAAATTTATTAACTTAAATTCATGAATTTACGTAAAAATAAAGAGATATAGTAATACATATGATACATATGACATAAGTGTTTTTAAAACTTGTTATCTTACTTATCTCCACATATTTAAATCCCCGTCTTCTTTTTTTATTAAGGGATCTGCATTCCGATGCTTAAAAACTGGTGATCCAATTGATCAGGTTTTAGAAAAAGCCGCCAGAGAAAGTGGTGTACCGATCAGTGATATTCTTGAAAACCTTCCAGCTGAATTGTCAGTTTGGGTTGATCCAGGTGAAGTTTCATATCGCATTGGAGAAAAAGGAGCTGTCAAAGTAATTTCTATAAAAAAATAATATTTACATTTTTAAAAAAAATTTTTTTTTACAGATTCTTTTCTCAGAACATCATGATCATGCCGAAGATTCTTCATCAGCTGATCGCGAAGTAACAAAAACATTCAACCCAGAGGCACAATGTTTTAGGCCAATCGATGCTGTTACCAACGGATTAAATGGATTAAATTTAAGTCCAAAAACATCACCACAAGGTACATCACCAACTTCATCAACATCACCTACATTCAAAGGAAATCTAAATACAAGCCCAAATGTTGCAGCTGGTACCTTTTTACCACGTACACAGGCACCAATTACATTTACGACAGCAACATTTGCTCAAACAAAATTCGGCAGCACAAAATTAAAGACAAGTTCAAAAAGAACTAGCAGGTAGATTTTGGCTTATTTTTATATCCTAATTTTCTTTTTGCTAATGATAATATTTTTAGCTCTTATCGCATGTCACCAACTGAATTTTCCAATTATATTAAACAACGTGCAATGCAACAGCAACTTCATCATTCCCATGGACCAGCAAATGGTACTACATCAAATCATTTTGGTCCAATTGGTCAAGCTTCTCCATCACGATCTCTATCACCAAATCCATTAACTTTGGGACTTCAAAATGATCCATTTTATTTTCCCACAAATTTAAATGGTATGGGCATGTATGCTCATCAATTTGGTAATAACAGCGCTGCAGCTGCAGCTGCTGCTGCTGCTGCCGTTGCTGCAACAAATAATCATCAAAACAATGGTGTTGCTCCACGTAACATATTTGATCATTTCCATCCTGATACCAATGGGTTATATACCAATGGTGGTAATTTACCAATCGGCAGTAAATTTTCATCATATATGGAGCCACATTCATATTATGGTTTAAATAATCAACAGCAGCAACAACAACAACAGCATGGACCGCCTCCATTACAGCAAGCAAGTCAACAATTACAACAACAACAGCAGCAGTCACAACAACAACAACAGCAGCAAAATCAATCACACCAACAACAAAACTCAGCAGCAACAAATGGTGTTATCGGAAGCAATCTTAATAATAATACTAATAATACCAATAATAGTAATAGTGCTGCCAATAATAATAATACTTCGACATCTGGAATATCAGTATCAACATCATCGGTTCCAACTTCAGCATCTGTTGTTGCTCAAATAAATAATACAACAACTACAAATAATAGTAATTCCACTGTAAATAATGGTGGTGCTGTTAATTCCATTAATGGTACAGCTGGAAATCAACAACAAGATACTTCAAAAATAATGGATGGTCTTAATTCATTCTATTCCAGTACCGGCCCTTATCAGCACCTTTTGGTTGCTAATTAAATAAAGATATCTGAAAAAGAAAAATGAAAAAGCTTTTAAAATAACTAGAATGATATAAAAGAAAAAGCAGACGAAAGATATAGTTAAAATAAAACAAAAAACCAAACTCAGAAAAAAATAACTAAAAGAATATAAAAAAAATTTATTTTTTTATTTTTAATTATTTTTTCATAATATTAAATTACGAAATTTTGCAGATAAATAATAATAAAAAAAGAAAAAAAAAAACAAATTAATATGAAAATATTTTTCTACATTTAAACTATAATACAAACACATTACATACACGTAAATACAAAAACAAATGAACAAAAAATCAACAAAATATTTATTATCAAATAACTGTTTTATTTCATTCAAGATGGCAAACAAGCATTCTATAATAGTCTAAAACAGTCAAAATGTTTGTTAAAAGAAAAAAGGGAGAAAACCAACAAAAATAAAAGTTAAAAAATCAATAAAATGATTTTTATAATAATTATAACAATATATTAAAGTCATGCTTACATAAATATCTAGTTCTAGATTAGAGAAAAACAGAAAAACAAATAAAATAAATTCAGTGTAAGTTACATTTAAAACTAGAATATTTGAAAAAGAAAGTAGTGGAAATTTAAATTACGAAATACATAAATGAATACATAAAGATTAAATGTCATTAAAAAGTAGAATGCAGAAAAATTATTGGCAACATACATTTTGCAAATATAAAAAATAATTAACTTGATTTTCAAAATAAAAATTTTGGAAATACGGGTAAATTTTAATTTTAAAGTGTGTATTCTTATTCGTACTAAAATTTTTGTAATATCAATAAAATCTGATAATAATGTTAATATTGAAAAATTTTTATTATTTTATTAAATATTATACTATATATTTTAATAAATTCCAATATAAGATACGCATATTAATAATTCAAATTTTTTTTGTATATAGTGTTATACAACCCAATATTTTATACAAATACTATAATAGTTTAAGTATTAAATTCAAAAAAAAAATCTGACTAAGAACTTTGCAATTTTTTCAGTATTAAGTTTCTATACTTTAAGTTAAATTTCAGATTTTCATGTAAAACACAAAACTAAATAAAAAAAAATTAACAATTCAAATCGAAGACAACCACAAAATAATTATTATAGTAAAACACTTAAATGTAGTTTAAAGCATATGTTTACAAAAAAATGCCTCTAGCGCATTATAAAAATTTTTATTTCCAAAGTATATATGTACTTAGCATTTGCAAGTGCATATGTTAAATGCTTGTAATTGATATTAGCCATGAATTCCAACCCGTCACAACGCAAGGGTCTATTATCTCAGCAAATCTTACCAACGCATTTGACAATTATATTAATTTTTTGCATTTTCTTAAAAATTAATGCATAAATGATGAATAAAATTTCAATATTATGTCAATTTCAAAAATTATGCTTGTCATTTTATAAAATTTAACACGATATGATTGACATAATTGTCAATTCTTTGATGCGCTGAGAAACGACCGGACTAAAACAAAATGTTATTCATTTCAAAAACAAAATAAAATTATTTGCAATATTACCAAAAATAAAAAACATTAAAAGAAATTTTCACTACTTTCCGCAATAGCCGAATTATACGTTATATGTGTACATACATAAATATATTTATATACTTAAAATAATAAAATTTTCAAAATTTGTTTTTGATACTATATTAACTTAGATTTAATATAAAAAAAATTAAATACATAGATAAAAAACAAAAAATCGTGAATATTAGAAATAAAAATTATAAAAATTCATTTTCATCGTTTTTTCTATTTTTTATATAACAAAAACTAAAAAAAAAAAAAAAACCCAATATAAAATTTTGTGATTTATTCTCTAAGAATGTTTTTAAAAAAGATCTTTAATAAAAAATAAAAACTAAAATAAAAGACGTTAAAGAAAATTAATATTTTATTTTTTAACATTTGATTTTCATTTAATTTTTCTTTTTCTTAATTATTTATTTTTTAAGCGTAATTTTTTTTTAATCCTTATCTTAAATACTAAGAATTAACTTTTCCCATTATTCTAATAAATGTTTATTCTCATATATTCTTCTTATACTGTTATACAATAAAAAATTTTTTCTAATTTATTTTTTAAATACAAAATTACAATTTTTAAGCAAAATTTTCTTATATATCATAAAAAAATTAATAATTTCTTAAACAAATATGAAAAACAGTTTACAAAAGTAATTTATTCAAAAAAAATTCTCTTTTTTCTATCTATTTTAGAAAGTCTATATTTGTAAAAAGTTTATAATTAAATAAACGATTTTGTATTTTAATATAAAATAAAACAAATTATAAACTTTTTAGTTCAACATGCTTAAAAAATAAAACAGAATTTTTTTTAAATAAATTTCTAGCCTAAACAGTTTCAAATACATATAATACCTGTATAATTAATTCAAAAAATAAACTCAAAAAAGAAGGTTCAAAATTATCTTCTTTTCAAAAATTATGTATAACAAGCAAAAAAAAGCAAATAGAACTCAATAAATTTAAAAAAAATTAAAGTTTAATCCTATATTATATAATCGTAATTAATAAAAAAGAGCAAAAAAAACATAACAACAAACATATTATTTAAAATTTAAGACAAAAACAAAGAAAACAAGTAAACAAAGTATTGATATTAAAGAAAAACGAAATAGCAAGAAAACAGAGGTAAATTTAAAAGATTATTATTTTTCTTTTTCTTATATAATTTCAGGCAAAGCTACCCACCAACTTGAACTAAACGAAAAAAAAAATTTTAAAAAATAAACAAAAACCAAAACTGAAACTATATACAAGAATTATAGAAAAATATAAAATATGAAAAAAATTTAGAAAATATTTCTTAACAAAAAAAACTAGTAAATAAAGAAAATAAACAAAAATTATTCCTTTTACATAACCAAAATAAAAATAAAAGCAAACAAATACCGTTAGAAAATAACCACAATTAAGTAAGCAAATTGTATTTCTTGTTTTTTTTTTACAAAATTTTGGAAAAAAAAATTATTACCAAAAATACAAAAAAAAAAAACAAATTTTAGAAATTCAAAAATAAAACTAGATAAAAAAACAAAATTAATATTACCTATATATGTAGATATACATAAATACAAATTGTATAAAACAAAAACAGAAAAATAGTGTAACTACAATATACATACAAACAAAAAACATAAAACGCCGAAATTTAAATTAAAAGAAAAATAGTAAAAAATATGAAAAACTTAAATAAGAAACATTCTTGAATAAGAATTAAGTATATATGCATAATATATACATATAATATATAACATGTATTTAAGTTTTTAATAAAAAATATATAATTAATAAATATGTGCATTTTATACGATTATATATATGTTTGTATGTATGAGAACAAGTATATGGTAAAAGAATTAAACAACATAGACAAAGAAAACGAAAAAAAAATATTACAACCAAGTCCCATTATAACAAGATTTTAAAAAAAAAATTGAGAAATTAAAATGTTTTACGATAATTTTAAAAAAATTTTTTTTTAAATGACATATTTTTTATGATAAGAAAAACATATTATTAATTTTTTTTTTTTGTTTCCCAAATTTTCTGTCGGGTTCTTTACACATAAAAATATATTTGCTTTTTTTTAATATAAAAAAATAGTAAAAAAAACAACCCAATTGTGTACCTTCCTTTTTACTCATGGGAGTGCAACTCCCAATTTTCTTACAATGTCATTTTCAAATCCAATCCGTCATGTTGTTTTTAAAGACGGCAAGTTTCATTGATATTTTAAAATTTTTGCTGATAATATTTTGACAAAAAATTAGGAAATACAAATGAAAAAATTAAAAATTCTGATTTGAGAATGTCTTAAAAAGAGATAAATGTAAAAGTAAGATGCACAATCAAGCTGTAAATTATCATCATTAATATTTTTAAAATTAAAGCACTTCAATTAAACATTTATTAGATATTTCTGATTTTTTTTAAAGCCTCAAGAGATATTTTCAATACGGCAAAAAAAAAAAAAATTTTTCTTTGATAACTTTTATCATTTTTAGATTAAATTATTTGTTAAAAGTATTTTTTATTATATTCGATTATATTTGGAATCGAAAAGAATTAAAAAACCAATAATCGAATAATACAAGAGATAATTCTAGATTACTTACAAAACTGTTATAATTATTACTTTTCATAGAATATACGCAATTAATTTTTTACATTTTATTTTTTATTTTTTTGAATTTTTATTATTATGAAAAATATGTAAATTAAATTTTGCATTAGTTAAGATAATTTTTTTTAAATTCTGTTTTATTAATAAATAAAAATTTTATGTTTAATAAAAAAACAAATGAAAAGTTTTATTTATTTATTTGGTATTTTAATAAAATTATTTGATTAATAAATGTATTAATAAAATAAATTAATTAATTACTAATATAAGATTTTTTTTTAAATATTCATAAATAATTTTGTCTTTTTTTTTTATTAAAAATATTTGTTAATAATTTGTATTTTTCAACTAAAATATAATATGAAAGATATAATTATAATTTTTATTTTTTAAGATTTTTTAAATAATAATAATTAGATTTTAGTCCCCAATTTTTGTAATTGATTTTTATACTTTAAAATTAAATTTAATTTTTTTTTGAAATATGTAATTATTTCTGTTTTTTTATATAAACATTTTTTTTTGGTATGTAATTTTAATTTGATATAATAAAAACAATCTTTTAAAAGAAGAAAAAAAAGAAAATATTTTTTTACTTTTATACTTTTTTTTACAAAAACAAAGAAAAAAACAAAACAATTATGTTATACGATTATTGTAAATGATAAAAATATTATTTTATAGAACTTAAAAAAACATTTAGTTATTGAATTAAAAAAACAAAATAAATCTAACACATTTTTTTAATAATTTTCTATTTTTTATACTTAAATTTAATTGTTAAATATATAATAAATTCGGAATCTCGTTTATTTTTCCTCTTGAATTTTTATTTTTATTTTTATTTGTTGCAATTATTTAACAATTTAATTAGTTATTACAATAAATTATTATTATTGTTTTATATATTTATTTTTTTAATATAAACGGTTTTAATATAATGTTTATTTATAAAATAGAGAAACAAACATTTAATATACGTTTCATTATATTTCATTATACACATAATATATGCAATATATATTTATAGCATTAAAAAAAAATATACGAAAAACGGAATTAATTTTTAATATTTTAATAAAATTTCATTAAAAAATTAAAAGTCGATTAATTATACAGCATGAAAAAAAAAAACAAAGCTTTTTTTGAAAAAAAATTACAAAACAATACAAAACATAAAGTAAAAATTAAAAATTTTATTTCTTTTTAATTCACAATATTATTTTAAAAATATGCAATTATATTTTACTTTTTCGAATTATACACAAATAATATATATAAATACATATATGTATTTTTTTATATATAAATCATGTATAAGCATTAAGATATATTTCTAATATATTAGTATTATTATTACATTCGTCTATACTCGTAATTATATTTTTGTAAATAAATAATAAAAATTATATGAAATAAACTTATATAAATAAAAAATTATAAGTTTTACACTCAAATAAATGTAAAAAAACAATTGATATTTAATAATATTGTGTCTAATAAAATATTATATTATATACAATATTTATATAACCTTTACTGGTATCAAAAAATATCAACAAAAAATTAAAATTAGAATTGCTAATATTAAAACTATATATAGATGGTGAAAATTTATTTGTGCAACCGAAAACGATATAATTGTATTTATATTAAAGTATTAACATTTCTAATACATTTAATAATATCATTTATAATTATCCGTAAACACTAAATTTATGAATATAATTTATTTTATAATAAAATATTTATTTACATGTATATATATATATATATGTATTAATTTTCACGCAATATATAAAATTAATCCATAAATATACCAATCAGAAAATCAACAATAATGTTAAAATTTATAAATAATCAATTGTAAGAAAAAAAAAGAGTGTACCACACTTCGCCGTGATTAAAATTTGAAGAGCACTGAAGGACTAATTTATTAATAAATTTAAATATGAATCAATATTATATAACATGTTCATATATTATATAATAATATGTATTTTATATATTACTACAAAAAAGTTAAGTAAATCTTTAAAAAAAAATTAAAATAAAAAAAGAGAAAATGATAAATAATAAATTTTAATAAGAGAAAAAAAGATGACAAAACAAGTCATTGAAAAATAAAATATTAATAAAATTAAAAACAAAATTGTTTAAATAATTATAGTAACATAAAATACATTGCAAAAAAATTAAAAAAAAAAGCAAAAAAAAGAATTTTTTTTATGTAACATTAAAACAAAAAACATTGTCTCAATGCTTAAAAATACCGCAAAATGTTTATTTTTTCATTTTTGTACTTTCATATTCACAATAAATAAAATAATAATAAAAATAATATGTGAAAATGTGTATAAAAAAATTTTAATATATAATTAAAAAAGTTCATATATTTAAAAAAAATCAATTAACTAAAAATTGTATGTAAGTATATTCAAAATTTAATATTGCGGGGCATTTTTTTTTCTATCATATAGAATAATATAATTACGAATATTTAAGTAAGAAAGAAAATATACAAAAAAAAAAATGTAATAAAATATAAAAGAAAATACATATATGCATTATGTATAATTATGTAAATACAAAAAATTCATATAATTAGCATATGACAGTCAAATGTTGTAAGCAAAGAAATATAATTTAATATATACAAATAATTAAATAATAATTAACAGATTTTTTAATGAAATTTAAAATAAGATTAATAACTAAAATAAAAAATTATGATATAGAGGAAATTATAAAACTATCCAACAATTAAAAATTGTAGTATATTCAGAATTAATTGATTTAATTGAATTTTTTCTTAATTATTAAATATATTCAATTTCATTATTTATGACTATCCTAATCCAAAATAATCCATTCTTATTGATCAATTTTATGATTTTTAAAATTTTATTATGAACAAATGACTTATCTTAAACCGAATACAAAAACATTTTTTCTTTTCCAGCAAATTTAAATTTTTTAACAATATTCGAAAACTTAAACTTGATTAAAGATTAAATCAAAATATTATTTTTATCAACTTTCAATAAAATCAATTAAAATTCTGCATTTACTCTATATATTAGTAGGTAAAAATGGAAACTAAGAATAAAAATCTTATATATAAAATTATAATGATTTACAATAAAAAAAATTTGCAAAAATTCTTAAATTCTATAAAAATAAAATATACTGATAATAATAGCAAAAATAATATGTGTATCATATAATATATCATAAATATGAAATTATATATATTTAATTATATCGAGTTTAATTCAAAAAATCAGCAAGAATAAAATTAAAAAAACAAATTAACCAAATAATTCGTTTGTTGTTAACCTTAAAATAAAATACAAAAAATGTAACTTAAAACAGAAATGAAAAAAAAAAAAAAAACAAATTCTTAAAATTTACATATATATATATAATTTTTTACTTTAAAAATTAAAAAGCAAAAAAAAATTCATATTATAGATTAAATTAAAATAATTTTATAATTAAATTAATTAATATGTAGATATTAAAACAAAAAACTTTTTAAATAATTTTTAAATAAAAAACAATTATTTTTCATTAAAAAAAAATAATTTTATTTTATTTTATTTTATTTCATATTTTTATTCCCCTTTTAATTTTAGTTTAGATCTACCTATA